TCTATATAACTAACATTTTCTAGAAGCAAATTCACTCCAGTTATTTTGTGGACATAGGTGGTCCCATTCTTGTCTTTTTTAAACCACGCGTTGGACTTGTCTATTGGATAAGCCGGTGCTGGGATAAATACACTGTGTTTTTTACTCAACACTAACTTTGCAGGAATAGTTAAAGAAAATGTTAGTTATATAGATAGAGATGGATCGGGAGGTAGATAGGAGCAGCAAAGAGCAAAGCCAACCTACTGCGTGCAGTTAGGAGACCTGAACTTTCATTTGCAGCTTCTCTCTGCCTCTATTTCATTTCTGTTATAAATGTTACCTGTGGTAACTAATATAAAGATGCTTGGGGAATGCTGGAAGAAATGTTGAGCCTTTCATTTTAGAGAATCCAGTAAAGTGAACAGAGCTGGAAGAAAAGGAGACAAAGTAACGTTTCGAAGCACCCTTAACAAACAGAAAAGGAATAAAAGAATATCCTTGGATATGGGCCAGGCTCAGCTCAGTCAAGAGTAGAATGGGGCAGATAAAAACAATAACAACAAAAATGCATGTGAGTTTTGTTTTCATTAGTGCTGGTTAGTATTGCCTTAAAGTGATGACTGGATGCAATAAACAGTAGTAGAAAATGACACTTGTGTGTGCTGGCGTCTGATCTTTAACTAAACTTTCTCTCAGGTGATAACCAACAACTTCCGTGAAAGGTATGCCCCTCCACCATCATTGATTCGATGCTGGTTTAAATACTAGGTGATATAAGACTGTCATGGGTAATTCCTACCCTTAGGAATTTAATGCATCACCCTCTTCAAAGAGGACTCCCATCTTAGAAACAATTTCACTATTATTCTGCCTGGTGTCAATTTATTGCCATATGTGAATGCATGTCCTAAAAAAAAAAAAAGCTTTGTCATATATTTCACAAAGTTACTCTAGTTGATGGATGGAAATAGAGAAAATGAGCCATATTTACCACACACACAAAAAAGAAAAAATCTTATTGCAAGTCTGAATCTGATGTATTACCATGTAGCACTGCAAACTCCTGCAAAGCAGATTTATCAGCTAATGACCTTTCTAAAACTCTTCCTCATCTTCATTGCTCCCCTAGGAGGTAGTGAGGTAGAGAAAGAACTCCATGATATATTTTTGCTACTCTCACTAGCATAAAAAGCAGTATTAAACTTAGTTATACAGGGTTTATCATTGAAAAATTAGTGTGAATGCCAGGAAAACACACTTATTCTTAGAATGTGAGAAATGGTGGGAAACTACCTACCAGATCACCTATTAATCCAGCCTCTAATTTAACAGATGAAGAAATTGAGGCCAGTGATAATTAGGAATTAGGTGATTTACCCAAGATCAATCTGCTAAGAAGGGGTGGAGACCACAAGAATTTTTTTAATTTTATTTTTTTACTTAGTGCTCTTTCCACTCATGGTTATGGTACATCTAGGAGCATCTATGAATAATCATTGGATTTTGCGGGTCATAGTAACTCGTTTAGTAAACATATGCATACCTACCATATGCTGGGCATTAAGCTAGGCATGGACAGATACTAGGGGGAAAAAACACTCCTCTGCTTTTGAGTAGCATGTAATCAATTATTTTGAAATCTTTCTAATTTTCTGAAGTGTCCTGAGTCATTTTAGAAAACCCAAGTGAACCATTTGGTGTTGATTTTCTGATAAATCAATATCTAGTATTCTATGCTTATCTATGGTTATTTTACATGCATTCTTATTGACATTTACAAGAAAAATAGTACATGTATAAAATGGCCATTTTAAAATGTACATGTAGTTGGAAGTAGTTGGACATCAGCATCTAAGCCTTTATAGACCTCTTTATGGAATGGCTGAGCAAGAAAACTGCAAATTAAAAAAAAGATAGCATTTTGCCTGAGCACCGGATTCCTGTAAACTTGGATACAATGTCACATGGCCTCCTTACAGGGAATTAAATACCTGGAGATGGGGGAGAGGTTGAAGTTCACAGAAACCAACCCATCTGTATAGTATAATGTTCTATGCTTAAATGGGACTGGGAGAAATTTGTATGTGTTTCAGTCATTACATTTATGGATAGCCAACCTGATGTAGTGAAACCACAGATCTGGATTAAAGTCTCAACTCCCTAATTTCTTATTTGGAAATGAACCTGGACCATTCTTATCTTCAGTGTCCTCATCAATAAAAGGGGGCCAGTGATCTCTGCCCATCCCATAGACTAGAGATAATATAAGTGCAAGTGTTTATATTCACTAAGACACTATAAAATATCAGGTTCTGTTATCCCCAATCCTGACTTTTCTCCTTAGATCCATCTTCCTATATTCAAGTATCAATGGCTTGCTCCTTGACTCATAATAGCTTCCACGTGTTTCCCCTGCTATTAACCCATTCTTCACGCAGCTACCAGGCTGATCTTTATGAAATCTTGCTTTCATCATGCCATTCTAAAGTAGCCCCCTACGGGAACAAGTCCAAGCAAGGGTTAGA